CTTAAGAAGGATATTGCCAGTGCCCAACAAGAAGGGAAAGCATTTTTTCAACATCTTAGACGCCTCAAGGCTATGTGGAATGAGTTGGATGTATACCTTCCACATGCCACAGATCCTGCCATTCTGAAACGAGCTGAGGAAGACAGAATCTATCAGTTGTTGGGGAGTTCAAACTCCGAGCACGAGGATCTAAGGAGTCACGTCTTGATGAGTCAAGAGCTTTCCACCTTCAACAATGTCTATGCAACTATCCAACGAGAAGAAGCAATGAAGAAAGTGATGAATGCTAAGCACAACTCGAGATTGACGTGATGTTTTCTCACAAACCTTTCCTTTCCAACTTCTATCAATTGGAAAGATCAAAAACACCCTAAACTGCCATGCCATTTTCTCACCAATTAACATGATGTTTCAGGTTGTTCTGACCATCAAGATGATTGGTGAAGGGGTCTTCATATATGAACTTTACTACCTGTGTAAGAATGCCTGTTTTACTCAAGCTCTTCAAGCTCAATCAAAGTCCATAGATGAAAACCAACTTTGGCATAAGAGATTAGCTCACCCCTCTGAAGTTATCTTGTCTAAACTATTTCTAAATTTTTGTAAATCACATTATACTTGTGATACTTGTCAATCTTCTAAGTTTACTAGACTACCTTTTGGTAGCTCAATGTCTAGGACAAGTAAACTTTTTGAAATGGTGCACACTGATGTATAGGAACCACAACTGAATCAATAGAAGGGTTTGGGTGCTTTGTCTTATTTGTTGATGACTTCTCTCAAATGAGTTTTGTATATCTTATGAAATCAAAGAGTGAAGTCCAAACTATTTTCAAAGATTTTCATATGCATGTTAAAACACAATTTCAATCAGACATTAAGGTGTTGAGATCAGATAATGACACTGAATTTCTATCCAACAACATGCTTCAATACATAAGTTCTCAAGGCATAATACATCAAACCAGCTGTGTAGGGACTCCCCAACAAAATGGAGCAGCCGAGAGAAAAAATAGAGATCTCGTGGAGAAAACTTGTGCTCTTATGCTTCACATGCATATTCCAAAGAAATTTTGGTCATTAGCCATCCTTACTGCCACTTATCTCATAATCGACTCTCAAATCATGTGCTAGGGTTTAAATATCCCTATAAAGTACTCAAGGGTAGAAAAATTGATTTGACACACCTCAAGGTATTTGGATGTGTTTCCTTTGTTCACATTCAAGCCTTGAACCAAGTGTGTGTTTGTGGGGGATTTTTCCACCCAAAAGGGATACAAGTGCTACAATCCAACCACTAAGAAGTGTGTTGTGTCAAGGGATGTGAAATTTAAAAAAGATTGCCCATATTTACTCACAAAGGGAATACTGCAGGTCAGGGAGATGAATTGTTTGAAATGTTTCTACTTCCTCTGGTCATTAATAATCTAGTGTTGGAAGAAAGCTCAGTTGCTGTGACACCAGATATTGAAGAAATACAACCTGACTCAATCTCTGATCATCGTATCTCTACCAATAAGGGAGACGAGGATTCTCATTCTGATCTTTCACAATTTCCTACAGAGTCTCAAGGGCTTAGAAGAAATCTTCCTTGAACCAGAAAACCTTCAACTAGGCTGCAAAACTATGTTACTTATGCCTCAAGGTATCCTATCAGTGAAAGTATCAACCTTGGTGAGTTCTCAACATCTCATGTTGCATTTCTCTGTGAAATTGATAAACACAGTGAACCTAGAAGCTTTCAAAAGGCATATCTCCTCCCACAATGGAATCAAGCCATAACATATGAGCTTCATGCTCTAGAAGAAAATAAAACTTGGAGCTTGGTTCAACCACCACCAGGAGAAAAGGTTGTTGGAAGTCGTTGAATTTACAAGATTAAATTCAAAGATGATGGTTCTATCGAGAGACACAAGGCCATGCTTGTTGCTTGAGGGTTCACTCAAACCTTTGGGGTAAATTACAAGGAAACATTTGCACCTGTGGCCAAGATGAATTTAATGAGGGTTCTACTCTCAGTTGCAATCAATTGTGGGTAGACTCTTTATCAAATGGATGTGAAGAATGCTTTCCTTCACGGAGAGTTACAAGAAGAAGTGTACATGCAGCCTCTTCCAAGTTATGACGATATTAAAGGCAACATGATTTGTAAACTACACAAGGCAATCTATAGATTGAAACAATCCCCAAGAGTTTGGTATGCCAAGCTCAACTCAGTTCTAAAGAAGGCTGGATTCTTACAAAGTAATGTTGACTCCTTATTGTTTGTAAGAATTGGCACTAGTGGGAAATTGGAAGTGCTTATCTATGTGGATGATCTCATCATCACAGGAGATAGTGCCGCTGAAATTGAGGCACTAAAACTCTCACTACTCCAAACCTTTGCTATCAAAGACCTAGGAAAGCTAAAGTATTTTTGGGCATCGAAATGGTAACCTCTTCAAAGGGATTGTTTCTACATCAACGAAAATATGTATTGGATCTTCTTCAGGAAGCAAAAATGCTTGATTGCAAACCTGCCATCACTCTCGTGGACTCTAAACTAAAGCTCAACACAGATGGAGAAGCCATGCATGATGTAAGCTATTATCAACGATTAGTGGGCAAACTTATATATCTCACCATCACACGTCCTGATATCACATATGCAGTGAGCTTGGCAAGCCAATTTATGCATTATCCTATGTTTGATCATCTTAACATGGTTAAGAGAGTCCTGCGTTATCTCAAGGGTTCGATAGGACAATGACTCATCATGCGTAACAACAATTCCACTGTCATCAGTGGCTACACTAATGCAGATTGGGCAGAGGATGCACTTGATAGGAAATTTACCACGGGTTATTGCACGTTTGTTGGTGGAAATCTTGTCACTTAGAAAAGCAAGAAGCAACATGTCATTGCTCACTCCAGCGCAGAGGCTAAATATCGAGTCATGGCAGCCATTGCATGTGAACTTATATGGCTTAAAGGGCTTATTTCAGACTTAGGGTTTACTAGTACTACTCCCATGTCTTTTATGCGTGATAATCAAGCAGCCATGCACATTGCTGCTAACCCTGTATTCCATGAAAGAACGAAACACATTGAAGTAGACTATCATTTTGTTAGAGCACAAGTGCAAACTCAAATCATTCGGACCATCTTCATGTGAAGCCATGAGCAATTAGCAGATCTTTTTACAAAGGCTCTGGCCTCTGCTCCATTCCATCGTTTTCTAGGCAAGCTTGGCTCGATTAACCTCCACGATCCAACTTGAGGAGGAGTGTTGTAATGCTGCATATGGAGTCTACAATGTGATGCTACATATAACTGATGCTGCATCTATTGATGTTGCATCACTGATGTTGCATCTATTGATGCTGCATATAGAGTCTACTACCAAGGTAACCCTTAGGGTAAATCTCTAGGGTAAGGCTCATTGTAATCTTTAGGGTAAGGGTATGTAAATCACCTTTCCCTTGATTTAAGGGAAAAGACTGATTGGGGTAAAGTCTTTGTGTAAGGTTTAGATTAGGTGGGCAACACGTTTTCTTCTTTCTTGTCGGCTGCTTGCTGCAACCATCCTTCCCATCTCGTTTCCCTCTCTCTTCTCATATATACATGTTTTACTCAACATACATGAAATATACATTGAAACTTTAAACCAGAAAATCTACAGAAAATAACAAGTATATTCTCGTATACATATTATATATGCACATATCACTTAGAGGAAGGACAACATTGGGAACAAGAACTCGTTGATATTTTACTCGGTAAGAGATATATTCGAAAATGGGGCTTCTTTCGCCCAATCAGGTATAGGTGGAGCGAAGCCACAACAGACTTTCCGAGTTGTTGATGCCAAATCCGTCCGGTCATTGCCAAATCTGTCCAGATGCTAATTAGGTTTCAGCTGGCTAGCTCATGTTGGAAGTTTTGAGACTCTTGTCCCACATTGGTGAAAACAAGATTCCAAAGTACCTTTATATACTTTCTGTCTTCTACAATATTAGTTATATGTTGGACCACTTGGAATGGGAATTGAGGCTTGGGCCACCATTTCTGTGGATTGGGCTTGATGATTATACCATAATATTAATATTAATTAATATTAATTAATCAAGACAAGGGCCTTGGGCCTTGGGGCACTTGGGGCCTAAGAATTAAAATACATCTGATCAATTAGTTTTAATTTCGAATTAAGTTTTTAATTAAATTAATTAAAAACGTTTGATTAAAGATACAACCTTTTGTAAAGAGTTGTAAAGCTTCAGATACATCCAAAAGGTATTTGAAGAGGTATGAAAGAGCCTATATAACTGGAGTCCTCAGTTCATCATCAATCATCATTTTCTTCTTCCTTTTCTTCCGTACAAACTTTCCAGAGAGAGTAAACACACAAAGCAATTCGCTAGAATTCTATAATCCAGTGCGGGTTGTAGGATTAGGTAGTTGTATCCTGGTCGAGCAGACGTTGTAGAACCACAAGCACAAGAGTGGGACGTAATTACTGTTCGAAGGACATAGCTTTTACGCTAGCCTCTACCTTCTGTAATCAAGTTAGTACTTTTGATATTCTCATATTAATTTTTCTGTAGTTGTTGTGTATCATTCTGTATTGCAAGTATTTTTGAGTAATAAAGTATAAATATTTCAAGTTCTGTATTTCTGTTATTTCTGTTTCTAAATTGTTCACCAACAGCTCATTGTGGGGATCATCGAACCAATTGTTAAGCAAGATTGATCTTATGCAGTAGAGAATGAACATAGCAGACTTAGAGAGAGAGAGAGAGAGAGAGAGAGAGAGAGAATTCTTAGAGAAGAAGTAATCTGTTTTGTATTGATTTTTTCGTTAACTGTTTACATCAACATTGTACTATTTATATAACTAAGGTAGCTTACAATATAGGCTAACTGTTTAACAAACTCCTAACTACTTGTCTAATCTTATGACACTTGTAAAGAGTATAACCCTTAAATGATTACTCCTTACACCAATAACACTCGAATTGATGTATGGCGTAATGAAATAGCCCTTGTAGTATTAATTTCTTGCTTGTTTTGACTGATGGAGTAAAATTTTTGGATCACTTTGAAGCCTGTTGCAACAATTTAATTACATATATTGAAAAGGAAATAGGAGTGTGTACACAATGAAAATTACAAATAAAAAAAATATGAATAACTCTGATCCCTCCACTTTATCCCCACTTGTTCATGTCGACCGTCTAGTTAAGCAGATCTGGAAGCCATTCACTAAACGAGCTGAGGGAAAGAATGACATCCGGTCTTCTTTTAGTTGGGTCCATCTGCAGATTGCAAATCCATATGGTTTAAATAAGTTGGGATTATAAGAACTATAAAGATTTCCAGAAGAATATATTATTTAGTGCATGGAGGTTTTTACTGTTTTTGGTGATTGTATGATATTTCTTTAATATTAACTCAAGTTCTTGTTTATTATATGAGGATTACCTATATGTTGTAACAAAGTAATGGAGAAAAAGGGTAATTTGAAGGCGAGCCAACTCAGCCCCCGGACAGAATCTGGCTCCTCCTCCAAAGGGTGCAAAAAATGGGCTAGTTCTCCAATTTCTTTTCTCCTGCACAAAAAATCGTGACTTACACGTACTACTATATATTTAACTAAAAAAGAAAAAGAAATGTAATGTAATATTAACTCATATGAGAGAAAACATTACATATAGAAAGAATATTCTATCTGGATACTAATTACCTGATTTTCAAGATCCATCCATCTCCATGGGTTAAAAGTGAGGGATTCTCTGTACACATTTTCATCCAAATGAACTGCTGAAAGGAAGGGAACAACAAAGCATCCTTTGGGGATAACATAGTCTACCAACAAAAACATTCATGACAACACGGTTAAAATACACACCAATCGAACTACGTACGTTACGTACATAGCTTTATGAATTCATAAAGAAAAATATATACCTTGGTACACAACGTCTTCTTTTGCCTCCCTCATTAACCAAATTGCAATTCCTCCGAGTCGAAGTGTTTCATCAATGACCTGTACATATATTAGTGATTACTGAGGAATGCTAGCTGGTACACAAACATCATACTATCATGATATGATTAGTATAGTGGAAGACACTACAAGAAAAGGGGCAACTTCCGTTGTGCAAATGTGGTTGGTACATGAATAGCTACTAAATAAGACCAAATCCAATCTTGGGCTAAAAGCCAAATTTTAACATTTATTCTCCACCCCCAAAAAAAAAAAAAATCAACCCAAGCCAAATTCCGCCAAAAAATTAGCTCAGGATTCAGTGTGGGCCCCACTGAATCGACTGAAAGCAGGCGATTGTGCACCAAACCCTCCCCCCCACCCACTCACCAGACGCGCGCGACGGGCAAGCATTAAGACCGACTAGGCCCAACCCACGTGGGCATGTTGGCCACGTTCCCCAAGCAAGCCAATGGCTCTTTTGATCCGACAAATGGAATCATCAGGTCGTTGGTTGATCCAACGGCCTAGATTCAAACTTCTTTTTTTTTCTTTTATATTTATATAGTTGTTGAATCCAACGGCTGTGATCGAATATAATCAAATCTAACAGTAAAAAAAAATCTAACAGCCTAAATTTAAATATAATGGCTAAAACAATTTAAAAAATTATTTAACTCAAAATTCACCCAAAAACTCTATAAATACCTATGTATTTTTTCAAACATTCACACAAAACTCACTTTTCTCCTACAATTCTTCCAATTTTTCTTTCTACCATTTCTTCCCATTTCCAAATTTTTCAAGATGGCAAGAGGTTGTGATTGGACCTGTGAGGAAGATGTTGCTTTATGCTTGGCATGGGTTTCTATTAGCGAAGATGGTGCAGTTGGCACAAATCAAAATAAAAAGATTTTGTGGGATAAAATCATTGAAAAGTTCCATGAAAACTGCGAAGGCGGCGGGAGGGAAGGTGGTGGTGTTTACGATCGGTGGAAGGTTATCAACAAAGCATGCACTTTATGGAAGGGAAACTTGGAGAGAGCCGTGGTTGACATGGCTAGTGGAATGAGCGCCGCAGAAATTGTGAGTTTTTTTGTTGATATTTTATTTGTCATGTACATAATATTATTTTGCAACTAATTGTTTTTATGTATTTTTTGCATAGGGTGACAAAGCAATGGCAATTTACAAGACAAGAGTAACACCAAAAAATCAACCTTTTAAGTTGCATCATGCTTGGGATGTCCTCAAGGATTGTCTGAGGTGGACAACCGATGCGGACCAACAATGGAGATGAAGTATCAATGAAGGTGTCGATGAAATGACCCTAACTTCTTCTATTACAAAGCCCCCGGGAAGAGATAAGCAAAAGGAAACAAAGAGAAAAGGGAAGTCCCAAGAGCTAATAAGTGCACACATTGCTACCGGATTTGCAAGATTGACCGAAAACCATAGCTCTTAACAAGAAGAAGCGGTCTGGATGCGTTTGCAAATGAAGGAAGAAGGGGATAGGGAGCAAAAGAGGTTCAAAATTAATTTCATGATGGAAAACCTCAACAAATACACTCCAGAACGGAAGAAGTTCTTACGTGGTAAGCAAAAGGAAATTTTGCGAAAGTATGCCACAAGGACGTTGATATCGTTGTTTAATCCAAGAACGCCGAAGAATGCATGCCAAATCCAAGTGTCGTAAGACGCCACAACCTCGAGCACAATGGTTGGCTTGTTATGATGACCCTTGAATTGGTCAGCCCAAGCAATAGGACAATTCATCCACTCCCATTGCATACAATCGGGACTTTCTATCATGCCATGAAAGCCTTTTTTGTTTGCCTTGTGTAGAAGCCTCTTCAAATCTTCACGATTTGGCTTGTAAAGGTATATGGCTCTATGTATGGCTTCAACTGCCTTACAGAAGCGCTTCAGGTTCTCAATAGCAGTAATCTCGACAAATCAGCAAAAATCGTCCGTTGAGTCTGTAGAGCACCTACTAGCTAGCATCCGAAATGCAGATGTGAGCTTCTGATGAGGTGATAGATTTTGTCAGCCTACGACATCTATCTTCCTTGCAAATTAGTGGTCATGATTGACAACTGCGTTCAAGATGCTTTCAAAAAGCTCTCTCCTCATTCGAAAATCATGAGCATGATATCTCGGACGCTCGATGAAATAATATTTCATCATTCGGTCATGACACTCTTCTCTATCACGCTGCACAAATGAACGCCCCGTGACAGAACCACGATAGCTAAATTTGGCATGGTGCTCATATTGCATAAGTGAGTTTGCAAATTCGGCTTCTGCGTTGATCATTTCTACATCTGCATTGTCAAGGCTTACTTGGTATTGTGCCATCTGCATTGCCAAGCTACACCTTCTTCTATCACCCATTGATGAGATATTAAGGATTTTTAGGAAACAAAAACACTTTGAAAGTTGAAAGATTGGTGAATATGTTGTGTGATGGTTTGATATTCAACCTGTGTTTATATAGAGAATGATTGAATGTTTCAGTTTCATGTGTGTAGGTTTGTGTTTCATGTGTTTTGTATGTATTTTGGTATGTGTTTCGTGTGTGTCATGTGTTTCACATGTGTTCTATGCGTGCTTCATCTCTATCATGTGTTTTGTATGTTTGTTTTGTATGTGATTCACATGTATTCTGTGTGTCTTGTGTGTTTCATGTATTTTGTGTTTATACATCTCTATCATGATTTTCATATTCTTCCATAGTGTTTCATGAGTTTCATATATCGATTTAATAATTTTTCAATTTTATCGGAATTTAAATATTTTTAGATTAAAATATTCATAAAATTAATTTACGATAGTCTACATAATATATTTTTTAAAGTTAATATAAGAAAAAAAAATTAGCATACGTTCATTCTTTAATAATATGGGGCTCACACTTTTAGATGTTTTATCACGCTTTCTGTATTAACTACTTAATTACACGCTTCATTATGTGACTATTACCTCTGTTTCTGCAGTGAAAATACAATTACATTTGTGTCTCAGATTCTTGGCCCCAAGTTCATTTTCAGATTGGTACGTACGTTTAAATTGGAGTTTCTTTTCTTTAAAATTTAGGGAAGATAAAAACTTGATATGAGATCACGGCATGCGTCATAATTAGGGTATTTGGTGATAAAATTGAAAGAGAAATGATACATACACATTGAGTAAAAGACATTGCTTTGTAATCCTGCCATGTAAGAGTTTCTTCTCCGACAGGTTTGCTTCGGAAGCTGTCTTGTTCATCCTGTCATGAGTCAATTTTAAATGAATAACTTGCTTCTACATCATCTTAATTATAAAGCGAGAAGGGATAGAGTTGACCATCTACATGTTAAATTGATAATATTTGAAATGCCATGAGTATATTTATGATCTGTGATCAATGCCTGATCTTGCTTACACGTTTCTATCTATGTGAGAGTCTATTTTTCCAAACATGCCCATTCACAAATGACCCCACGGGAAATCGATTTTCATATAAAAAATTAATCACTTCATTATGTCAGAGGTAAAATTACTTTTTAAGAGCCTGGGCATCATCATTCCTTAGACCCAACACAACTTTTTTGAAGGCCTAATTATTCAATAACCCTATGCTAGAGTTAGCGCAAATTTTTGAAACCAAACTTTAGAAAGCAAGTTTAAAACCAGTAAGCCAGGACGTGCCACAAGAACATGTTTTGATACCATGATAAACTTTTTAGCCTTTGCATGGTCCACCATCGACATAACCATTATTTGTCCCTAATTTACCCACATATTGCTTGATGTGCAATTTCACTATTAAAGGTCTCGATGATACTAGAAGTGAACCTCTTACATATAAATTGTGTATTATTTTGCTATATTTCTAATGTGAGACTCTATTCTCTAATATGTAAATACGTACACACGTAATGAGTTTTTTTACTCTCCATAAACTATATTGCCAATTAATTTAAGGCGAAACTTTAATTACTTTGTAATATTAAGAAGAAAAAGATTTACAATATGTTAACAATTTTACCATTAATTAGCAGCAAAGCGTAACACAATAAGACGAGGAACCTAGCTAGCAATATGGAAAAGTTAGGTTCGTACCACTAATTGTTTCATTGCTCTGGGACACTGAGTAAGGAAATAGACTGCAAATAGCATTGTTTTAGCAGTTGTTTCATTCCCAGCAAAGAGAAGGTTGATAATGAAGTCTGGTACAGCTTCATCCCGTAAGCTTTCTTCCTCCAACAGTCTTCCAAGGACGCCATTGCCAACTTCACGTTGTTCTCTGTGATTTTGCGTTATCCTATTTATCTTGATTATGATTTTTTCCCTTGCCTGCCAAAACATTAATACATTGGCTCACAGTTGATTACTACAAACGTGAAAATCATTCAAATTTGGGATCTCTTTCAACGGTGGCAAGAGAAAGTACAGTTAGACAAGCATAGACAAGCATACCCCATAGGGTGAACCTAGTTGTCACCCACCCCCCCCCCCCCAAAAAAAAAAAAAAAAACACAGCCCAACTTGTAATAACGTACTTCCAATGTATAACTCATAATCAATCGGAATCATTCATTTTTTTTGTCATCATCTAAGTATCATTTATGTAAAAAAATCATTCTATATGGTGACCATTTTGTCGTCTATATGTGTCGAACAAATTGACAATTTTGATAAATAAAAAAAAAATAGCTCCTCATGATGAACCGTCTATGGTATAATGCATATGTATGGTTAAACAATCTTTAAATTGAACGATTTTTTGCAGTAATGGTCTTTAGAAGATGATTACGAGAATATTTTTTGTACGGTAAAAGTATGTTAAGCATGGACGTGAAGATTTCACCCATGGGGTGGATACCAGAAAATTAGGGTTAATTAGTAATCATCTAGTGTGACAATTAATAATCGTGATGAAGTAATAATTAAGCAAATTATATGTGTTTTGATAAGATACAATTTCAGCCTTTGGACGATGAAATATCTTATAGTTTAAATATATGTTAAAATTTGTGAAATAGTGGTGCCATATAGACTATTTGCTTGAATCATATTTTATAAACAAAATTATGTGACAGATAATAATTGAATTCATACTTTAAATCATTAATGAGTATCTAATTATCAATTGCCACATCATATAATTTACAAAATGTGGTCTAAAAACATTGTCCCTCTAGCATTTTTCTTTGTGAAATATGTACCTTCATGGCAGTGTGGTATGCAAAACCAGGCAAGTTGATTGGAAAAGAGAGACAACCATCAACGAAGTCGGAGAACAGTTGAGCCATCTCATTAATCTCTGAATCGCTCGACACTCCCAAAAGTTGATTAACCATTAGATTTATAGCCACCTGCCAAAAGAACAAAACAATAATAAAATTGGTGAATGAATTAATTGAAGTTATTGAAGAGAAAGTTAACAAAAATAAAAGAAAGGAAAAGAGAGGAGACAGAATGTAACGAACTTACCTTTCTGCAAACATCCTGGAGAAGTATCGATTGATTGGTTTGAAAATTGCTCAAAGTTTGAGTCATAATCATTTGAATGTCGTCCAAGAAATTAAACCTCGATTTAAGTTTGTGGTCTAGGCGCATCATGTTGGAGGCGATTCCGTGGAGCTTTCGTTGTGGCTCTCCGTGCACCGTGATAACACCATTTTTGCCAACCAAATCTTTAAAAGATTTTGGATAACTAGACTGGAACAGTTTCCCTTCATTCTGCATTACAAAGCGGTTGAAGATTGGATCTGCTGATATCACAGACCATCTTCCAAACAGACTGCATGAGAATATCTTCCCGAACTTCTGGACTTGTTGTTCAACAAACTGAGGGGGGTGGGAACTCGCGACCGCATTGTACCAATTGAAGCTGTCGCCAACGATTGGCCAACCTCTTCTTCCTGGTGGCAATTGGCCAATCTTGAGCTTTCTTTTTCTGATCCTTACCACCAACAACTTTGCAACAAAAGAAATGAACAATACTGTGGAGATCAAATGCAGGCAGGTCGAAAGGTTTCCCATTTCCTAGCTTTCGGAACCTGCCAGAAAAATGTATCAGTTGACGTTAACTTAATTGACTACACACACACACATACACATGACAACCACTAATACAACACGATCGATTATAATTAAAAAAATAACACAGCATGTACTTTTATAAATATACATATAATTCCATAATTAATTACCTCAGCAGGAATCATTGACCAAACTAATAAACACAATAAAGCCACGTCGAGTTACACAAGTAATAAGTTATTCTTCATTGTACACCCTGATATATGTGTACAAGTTTGAATTAATGTTATATCGTATAGAGCAGGCCATCAATTATCTGAATTCTCAACGAAGAATCACTAACCCATTTTTTTTTTTCTAGCTGCCCGTGTATTGTTAATAGACTCCATTTGTGTATGCCTTTAATTTAAGGAAATATCTATTTCTTTTTTCTTTCTTTTTTATCTGAATCTAATTGATTGATATGATAAATGTGAAACTCATAATTGAAATGCATATAAGTCATATTTACACATTAACAAAAAAGAAATAAATTACTTAATAGAAGATGAGGTGATCAAACATATAACCAAACGTATAAATTATATAACATAAAATCCTCAAAGTGCAAAAAATTAAAAATTAAAAGGTGAACTTATTAAAAAATAAATAAATAAAAGACCTTGAAAAATGTAAATTGTAGTTAGTCCTCGAGTTAAATACGTAGACATCTTCATACTTCGGAATGGGCTATGTGCGTATTTCAAGTTACAAACTAACTTTAGCTTGTTCTACTGCAAAAGCAGGCATGAAACCAGGCGACTCGTCTTCAAGGTGAAGAGATTCTCACGACGACTATATATGAGAAATCTTAAAGCAAGTTTGATTTTTCTTTGTATATGTTTATATTTTTTCCGAAAACTCAATAAATAATAAGGAAAACTAATTAAAATGATTTGAAAATTTTGAGTTTTAACGATAAGAATAAAATAAATGATAAAGTGAACAGTACTATGATTAACTTTATAGTGTAAAAATATAATTTTTCATTAAAGTGAACAGTACCGAGAGCTTTTCATTAAAATATCTTAAATAATACATATATAATATTGTTGCCACCTTTAAGTATTCGACACATTTGAGGGGATCCAAGCACATATGATATGCCCCAAGTTGTAAAGCTCGAGAATGTGTTTGTTTGGCAGCCATAGCCTATAGACTATTAGACAATGGGTTATTTATGCAAAATATCAGCTTTTGAGCAACGAACCGAAACGAATGCATGAATATTGTGGCGGAGGCAGAGTCTCTGCCTTCCCATTTTTCGTATGTTTCTATTTTGTATGGTCATGGTTAAATCATATTAATATCTTATATTATTTTTATATAGAGATAATAAGACAAAAGGAATAGTAATATTGACGTGGCTTAACCGTAACCATATAAACAGAAGGGCACGGAAGGGCATAGAATCTGCCTCCGTTTGTGGCTTTTGTGTAGGACAAATTTGTCAATTCATAAGATCAGATCGAGACCACTGTGGTGTGCATATACAATGGAGAGACGTTAGGCCAGTTAAAATGTCTTAATTAACACAAAACCAAAGAAAATAGAAAGACAGGGAACCCTAGTTTTCAGGCATACTTTCCTCGAATTAAGGTCCTAAATTAGTGCCGTGATATATTAAAAGGAATGGTCCTTACATCGTAATTATTGGAGAAATTTTTTATTGTGATCAGAATATGAGTGGTACACCATATGTTTTTATATAAATTGTGAGAAATTTTATTTTTTAAGTTATTAAATTTTTAACACACATATTCCACAATTTGTATAGTGACACGTGATGTATCACTTCGTGTTCCTGTCACACTGAAAAATCTCTCCAATTATAGGCCAAGAATCTGCTGTTCCTTTTTTTGTGTCTCCCATTGTGTCTTCTTGCTAATATCTTAACACATGTCTTAGAATTTAACTAAGAGATAACTCTATTAACTTTTGGGAAATTTTATTTGAACTCATATAATATTTTTCTACACCCAACTTACTCTCTTCATCCATATTGTTTTTTATTAAAGAATTAATATCTCTTTAAACCCAAATTTATTATCTAAACTACCCTCTCAAACCCAATTCAAAATGTAAAATTATCTTTACACTCATTCTCTTTATACTGTATAGGACTAGCATTTCCAAGGTTGCTTTTTTTCTTTCTGCTACCACAACCCATCCATGGACTTGGGATCCAAGAGATCATTCCATAGACTTGAATTTGCCAAGAGAATGTTAAGCAAGCTCCAGTTCAGTCCTTTTTAAATCGAGCATTTTTATGTACTTTTTAAGATAATTTGAAGTGACATAAGGTTTGGTGTTTTGTTGCTATGTTAATAAACAAATCGGAGCTATGTCGAATAAAAAAAGGTGCAAGACATGTCACCCACGAGTTCGTGGTTAAGGTTGAGCAATCTTTATTTGTACCAAGAATCAAGTTTTTTGTCTTTGCAGTACTAATCAAATATCCTTTCATTGGTGTTTTGGGGCACATACAGACGGCAGAGAAAAATAAATACAATATAATATAAAAAGTATGAAATTTAATCCAAAGAAAGCAAACAAACAAAATATCCATAAATCGAGTTATACCTTAGTTGGAGGATTAAAAACTTCAAAATCACCATCCATCAATAGAAAAACTTGTTTTTCTCTATCAAAGCTATTAGGGTTTTAGTCGGAATGAATATAGGATAAATAAAGGGTGATGTTAGGGTTTACTTATAGTATGTGGGTCTATTGATAAATTTGATTTTTATTATTAATTTTATTTTGTACTTAATAGTAATTATACAATAGGATAAAATAGACATTTAAAATTTAAATTGAGGGTAGAAAGTGGTTATATGGGTTTAAATAAAATTTCTCTTAACTTTTTATTCATTTAAAAAATAAAAAAATTCTAAATACAATGAAATACGCGTACGCAAGTGTACTTGCAAAACCCAACCATCTGAATCTCTACCCTCATAATCTGGAACAAGAACACTGTTGTTCTTGTATATTCTTTCTTCTTCCTTTTCAAAGCCCATTCTATCTTGACCTTTTTCTACCCGAATTCAATGATTAAAAAATAACACTAATCTTCATCATGAATCATGATAAATTGTCAAACATTCTTTATACTGATTTTTTGGGAAAATTGTTATTGTCATTCCAAAATTCTCATTTTGCACTTTAAATTTTCAATATTTAGAAAGAAAAATACACATATGAGGAGTACTAAATGAGATTTTGAAGTGCCAATAACAGTTTTTTTTTTTTTTTTTTTTTTTTTAACAAAAACAAAACATGAAGAGGAATATGATATGAGACACGAGGAGAGGGAGTGGACAAGAGAGAAAGTGGGCATGGAGGGTTCAAGATTCATATGCCGGGACTGATGCTTGTCCCCAAATTGTAGAATTACTGGAAGAAGATTGACGATGATAGGGTTTGAAGATGATAGTCGGGATCGAGAAGAAGATGGATGCCAGATCTACCTTCGTTTAGGGTTTAGGGCATAGGACATGTATCGAAATATTAGCAAGAGACACAAAAAAGGGAACAACAGATTTTTGGCTACAATTATATGCCACCAAAATCTAGCCAAGCATAGTTTTTTCTTAGTTTTCTTTCCACTTGTAAATAGAAAGTCTTAAGTTTTGTTTCAATTTGTTCTAAAAAAAAGTTGTTTTTCAAAATATTTGATATATCTACACTAATTAAGTTCAACTCTATGAATAACGAGTTTGATGTCGAATTATCATGACCCAATTGGCTCAAGCCCCTCACATTGTAAAATATATTTTTAAAATAAACCGTTAGCTAATGCATCGGTCACACAATTGCCCTTGCAAAATATGTGTTGACAACATGATTAATATTTTTGTCACACGAAAAATTTTCTAGTACATCTAATCAAGTTAAAGATTCTTAAATAGAAACTTCTTTTACACGTTAGTCATCTGTCAAAAACACATAAGATGGACCAATGTGGGTGACAATATGATTACTATGGTGATCCACTACTTAATTCTCCTACTTGTATTATTCCTTGATATTCTATGTTGATTGGAGCAATTGCCCTAGTAAAATATGTGTTTACGACATGATTAATATTTTTTTCACACGAAATTTTTTCTCGTACATCTAATCACGTTAAAGATTCTTAAATGACATGTTAGTAATCCGTCAAAAACACATAAGATGGACCAACGTGGGTGACAAAAAGTTCCTACTTGTTAATTTTCGATATTTAATACTACTTTAAGTTGATTGTTTTGTTACTTTTTTTTTAGCATTGAATTAAGGAGTTTGACAAATTTTCTCATAGGGAATAAACTCCACATTGTAATGAGTTATAATTTTTTTAGGTCTCGTCTTAATAAACAAAAAATGCAGGAGGTCTTAGGTTTGATGCTCTGAACTGGCACGTCTACTTGACAGTGGCCAAAAGCAGGGTGGAATTTCCCATAGTTTCTTGGACTAAGAAGGGGTCGATAATCGTGGCTTACTACCAGTTGTCCCCCCTTTTTTATGAAAAAAGACTGACAGCTTTATGGCACAAGTGTCCAGGAACATGCTACTCATACGTCAATCAGGCCACGTGGCAACTCACAGTTAGTGGCGAAGGCCTATGATGGGATGTAAAGGTGATCAGAACGGTGCTCGAAGACATGGGGTTAGATAAACAAGGCCAAGCGAGACTCTTGGCACACATCACTCTATAAGGGCATGCAATCTCGACCAAATACATGTCACTTCAAAAACGAATGTCCGGCCGATAGGTAAAAAGGTGTCAGCACAAAAATCTATGTAGATGCGCGCATTAACTACCAGGGAAGTGAAAAGAGGTGAGCCCAAGGCTTCTAGGTTCATTGAGGGCTTATGTAATGGGTGTGAACCTCTTGTATTGGGGTTGGACGAATAAAAGGATAGAGAGTTCATGTATTTAGCTGAGCTCTATTTTCAGTCTTAAAATCAATATAATCTGAGCAACATAATGGATGTAGCCCAGTTTTGAGGGGTGCCACTTAAATCTTTAAGTCCATTTCATTTTAGTAT